AACGTCGCTTGTTTGACCTCGGTGCGTGTTCATCTCCGTCGCTATCATCGTCGTTCAATATCTCAGACAGCTTCTAATACGGACGCCGCGTTGTTCGCCGTACTTCCAAATTGCACACGGCGGCTAATAGGAATTTTGATTGACCGAATTAAAAATAGATATCGGAGAAGATTCGCGTGTTTTTATTTGACTTGTTCTTTTCTTTCTTCCGAGCATCGATTAACTTTATTAGCAGCCCACTCGTTTGTGGAACATTAAAAGTGGGGAGGGAAGAGGACAAAGAGGAAGAGGGTGGACGAGTCCTCGGCGTGCGAGCGGATTGCGGGAGGACGATAGGATAGGGGGAATCGGTGGGTAGGGCGGGGGGGGAGGAGGTGGCAAGGGGGACAGAGAGAGGAGGATGGGGTGAAAGGAAGTTCACCGAGGCAATTTGTTGTTAAGTCGGAACTCATTTTCTAGAACCCACACCCGACTAATGCCGCGACTGGGCCTGCAGGCCACCTCATTACCAGACCTAGTCAATTTCAATTTAATTTGCCAGTCGGCTGTTTCGCGAAAGATGGTGTATGCGTGCGTGCGTGTGTGTGTGTGTGTGTGTATGTGTACACGCGCGCGCGCGCGCGTGTGTGTGTGTGTGTGTGTGTACGGGAGAGGGAGGGACGGAAAGAGTGGCGACCGCATAGGTTTTTAATTAAACTGGAAACCGAGGCCGCGCGATTAATCATTATTATCTAGAAAAATTAAAGCTAGCAGCGAGAGAATGTGTTTCATGTGTGCCCGTTGTGTGCATATGCACGTCGCGCGCGTAACACGCGGCAGATTTTGTGCTGCTCGTGCGGGAAGTTGTCCTGCATTCGTGTTTATTATGTCGCGCGATATCCTGAAAAAAAAAAAAGGATAACAACCTTCAACCTCCGCAGCCTTGTTTGCAGCTGCACGTATGCGATCTCGCAAAGAAAATAATTCGGTGAACGAACGAGCGCGTCTATCCGTCGCTAATCCATTAGCGTCGTTAGGATATCCGAAACGATGCGGTATAGATCCTGACCGAATCGGATAATTGCGAAAACGCATCACGAGGTTTGTCTACGAGGGAGAGAGGGAGAAATGATTTCTGTCCTCCACTGGCGACGATCCAGAAGTTGCGCGCGCGAACGGGAGAACGACCCTGTTCAAGATGCGGATGAAAACTGAAGGCGCTCACAAAGGCCCGGTTCCCGACTGCGTCAGTCCGAAATTTGGATTTTTAATCGTACAAAGCGCTAATGAATCCATTTAGTCTCGCGAGGGGGGAGAGGGGAGGCGACCCACTCGACCCTCGCTCGATACAGGGATCTTGGATAAACGGACAAACGAACCAAATAATTACGCTAATTAAAGCCGCCCAATTTGTGCTTTAGACAATTAAAGTGCCGAGGGTAAGGTAGTCTAACTCATTAACAGGCGGGGGTCGCCCACACACACACACACACACACACACACACACACACACACACGCACGCGCGCACACACACGACGGATTCGCCTCCCGTGTGTAGAATACACGTCGTTTCGATGTACGCGCACCCGCACGTCCTTGTGTGTGTCTCTCTCTCTCTCTCTCTCTCTCTCTCTTATTCTCTCTTGTTAGCAGCAGAGTGTGCACGTCGCTGTGTGCGGCAAAGGGGCACGCATAATGAGCGAGGGTGCCTGGGTGAAAGGACGATCCGCGTAAGGGCGGAGGACGCACTTGCTCGCGAATCTTTCGAAATCGAGGGTCACGCCATTTTATATAGCTTAGCTGCGATATAATCGAAAGGAACGAAAGGAAAATTTATGCTACAAGCGAATACTATTATATATCGTTGGCTTTATCTAAATCTTATCGTTTCGAGGTCCGAAATCTCGCTCGACTCGATCGAACTGTCGTTTAGTTGTGCGAAACGTACACGCGCGACACGCGCCTTTAGAGACGCTTGTTAGAGCGGAGCAAGATTGACACGTCGGTCGCAATTAAAACGTAAGAGGGAGGACCGCGCTCTCGCGCGCGGTAAATTGCGTATCAAGTTGGAAGGAGTCGGACAAGGAGAGCGAGGCACTCGCGTATTATCAACTGGTGAAATCGACTAATTAGAAATTGCGTAGACCGCTCGTTAAAGATCGCCCCGCCGACCGTAATCGCCAATTACTCTCTTAGTGCGGACTGCAGTGAACTTCGCTCATTAAAATTATTAAACGCCGCGGGCGCGACGGGACTCGGCGTTTGACGTTTCCACACAGCGCGCGGCGCGGCGCGGCGCGGCGCGGCGCGTTGCGAATCGCCGAATTTTTGCAATCCACCCATCCGTCGAAGATTATAAAATATAAATTACAAATCGTATTTTTCACCGCGGATTTCTTTAACGATCCCCAGCCTTTCCTCCGGTGATCGTACATAATAGAACGTAAATTGTCCCGTACAAAGAATACAAGTACGGGAAGTAATTAACTGTACTCGCAGTTAAAATATATTAGCCGTAAATTTTTATTAACAAAGTATTACAGTGTATATAGTTTTCATGCGCGCGAGATAGATCTTGGCGCGATCGATGTTTTATCAAAGATATATAGAGATTATTATTAGTCCGCGCGCGATAAAACAACATCATAACAGGCGATGTCCGCCGTCATTCATCACCGGCATCGAACCGTTATTTGCTAGTTACTTTCGATCGATTATTCCACCAGTAGAGCATATGTGCCTCATTCAACCTATTAGAACGGGACACACTCGATATCTAATTTAATATATCCGGTTTAATTACCATAAAGATGACCTACACAGATGTCGAAATTGTAAAAATTTTATCGCCGCATTTACTTAATTACTCGACTATCGCTGCGTTCAATATAATTGTCAAATACATTTAAACTATTAACGAGCCGAGTTAGACGTTCGTTTCGAGTAATGATAATTAAGTAAAATAACGAATAATTTGCGAACGTTCTGTTTGACATTTTTTACGACTATCATAAATAAGGCTCACGGATAATCGAAAATTCTTGCTTGTCATCAGCTTTCCAGAATGGTCACGTAAAACACGCGTGAATAATGATACTGGTAATGGCGTCGGACGATTAAGAGGCCAGAATGAGATAGAGCGAAGGAGGAGAAAGAAGAGGCAGATTTTATGGTTGATCCTCGATCATCAGCTGTATAATTCCTCCTATCCGTTCTAGCTGATTGACTCGGCCGTCGGCTTCTAATTAGCAATTATGGAGAAATCGAAAACGCGCGGGGAGCGATTCGGCCGAGGGTGGGGGGGGGAGGGGAGGCGCGCACACTTCTTCGCTCATTAGGCTTAGCGAGGGATTCGGCCCGGAAGTGGATACACAGCCGCATTGATAGAGACCGCGGCCGCAATTAAAGTCTACCGCTTCGATTCATTTACGAGACACCTGACGCCGAGGAAACGCCACCTTTGATTAGGATTTCGCCCACGTTCGCGGAATGAACGATGCATCTTTATGACATCCCCTTACGTAACTTACGTAACTTAGTCTTAATCAGTGTTTAACTACTTTGCGAGAAATTGAATTAATAAATAAGCGGCGGAATTTCGAATAACCAGTCACAGTTTCTAGACAAGATGTTTTTATTCGCGGATAAAATGGATGAGAAAATGTCTCGCAGCTCCGATCACCGTATTTAATAATGCGTGAAATACGCGCGATAGATTTTGCTTTCTCAAAACCACGAGAAAGTAAGAACGGTCACTCGAAGAGAGCGTCTCGCGCGCAAAATTATGTTATTATCATTTTCTTGTCGCGAGAAGTAGGCAGAATCGTTCGCGCGGCGCTAAGTTTGGCTGCATCCGTATTTTCCATCAGACGAGAACGCGCATTTATAATTGAACCGTTGCGAACAATTGAAGACAAATCGCAAAAATGAAATAAATAAAAGGGAAAGAAAAGAAGAACAAAAAGCGAGGAAAAATGGGAGAGAGAGAGAGAGAGAGAGAGAGAGAGAGAGAGAGAGAGAGAGAGAGAGAGAGAGAGAGCGAGCAAGAGAATAAAAAGGGAAAGATTGAAACGTCATTCGGGAGAGCAATCATCGAGATACCGGCCGCGCTAGCGCGATCAGCTGTGGATCCCGGGCAGATAAATTAGCAATTTAATTATAGAACTGTCAGCCGGTAATTAAATTAATAACGAGAAACCTCAAATCCAATCCGCTCCGTCGTCGTAACAGCCTTATGCGCGCTCTCGGAGTAAAGTCCGACGCAGACATCGATATGTTGGCTGTATATATACCTATATCGCGCGATTCAAAAGCCGATTTAATTAAATATTCCATTAACGTTAAATACGGAATTCGATTTTGACTGTAGCACGTGTGTGCCGCGACCTCGGCGAGTGGCTTTATCGCTCGAGTTAGATCGTTAGACCGGCGGATCTTTTCCTAAGTTTACCGTATTAGATGCGGAGCGCTCTCTCTCTCTCTCTCTCTCTCTCTCTCTCTGTCTCTCTCAGATTTGATCCTTGAATTCGCGATTAAAACGGACGGCTGAATGCGTGTCGCGATGTATCGGCACATCTCGGATGCGTCTCTCTCGCGGTGGAGTTTCTTACGCCGTCGGCAGCGCCGGAGAGAGAAAGACGTGAAATCGTGGCGCTCGCCTCGAATCCCCATTCGACATACCTACGTATCGTTACGTAGCTAATTGCTGCATAAACAGCAAGACTTTACGAGCCAACGGGTATACGTCTGACAACCGCTTCGCAAACATTAACTGCCATTAACGAGGATACGAGCGCATCGCGTCGCATCGCGTCGCGGCTCGCCGGAACCCTGGCTGGCAAAATTATTGAAAAATAATCGCGGGCTCGAACGCCACGATCTGGCATGTGGTGTAGTTCCTCACGTAGGGGGGACACTTTCCTCGCGAGTAAAGACGCGCGTCCCGGTCCTTAAGTGCGAATAAATCGCGAATTAAACTCGAATCGAGTTTTAATCGAACGTTTCCTTCGTCTTGTTGCAGAATGTTCGGTTGCAGCGGCATCTGCAGTAGTTGCGGCACCACAATACCCGCGAGCGAGCTGGTCATGAGATCCGGCGACGCGGTGTTTCATCTGAAATGCTTCACCTGCAACAAGTGCGGTGGTCAGCTCGTCTCTGGTGACAGGTGAGTCTTTGTCCTTGGATAGACGGATGATATCGATCCGACGAAAAAGCTTTTTTCGCATCCTCCTTTTGACACGCGGCTCTCACGATTTCAGATACTACCTATTGTCAGGCTCGCCGGTATGCGAAAACGATTGGCACAAGCTCGTGAAATCGTCGAGCGTCGCGGCGGTAGCGACCACGGCAGCTGGAAATAGCGGCGCGCCTGTTAGGAAAGGTAAGGTCGGCAGGCCTCGAAGAAGCCGCGAATGAGGCGGCAACCCGGTCGGTCGCCCGAAGAAGGTGCAACCCTCTCCGCAGCCGACGCCCCCCGTCGTACCTTCGCCTCAGGTAGATGTAGTGGACGTCGCCGTCGGGGTGGATCCCTATTCGCCGCCTCCGCCGGGTCATCAGCACTATCACCAATACCATCATCACCATCATCACCAGATGGCACTTGTGCATCCGGGTCTGGCGGCCCAGCAATCGCATCTACAGGCGTCCAGTTATCAAGACTGGTCGTCCTGGGCTCAGGATACCTGCGATTAGACCTGCCGTTCGCCACGGCAGGATCGTATCGCTCAAAGGACGTGACGAAGAACGGAGCCTACTTATCTAACGTTGCGAGTCTAGGCTCCCTAGAGGGATCGCGGAAAGAAGAGGAGAGGCACACGTAGAGCGTCCCTTGGGAGCCGCCGTCGTCGACTCTATGGAGTCGGAGTGTCTCTGGACTCGGCGCCGTGATAACGTGTTTGAACTTACCGCGGCAACTGAATGTCTCTCGGAACACGCGGTGCCGCGATGTTAAACGTAATTGAACTCGCCGCGGATACCGAGCGTTTCTGCGTCTCTGACGATGTTGACGTGTCGAGTGCGTCCGAGCTTGGCGCGAATCTCTGAAAATCTCTGAACGTCTTTGAACTTGAATAATTCGGAATCGTGAATATCTCTGGACTTGAAACACGGATGTTCCTTCAATTTTGTAATGGATATGCGGGTTTCTTTGATCCGACATTGACGAACTGACAAGATTCTTCGGAAAAGAATTCGGTTCGCACTAATGTCGAAATATTGCTTTCGCGAAAATAATAGTTCAAAAATGTCCTGAAGCGTTAAGTTAATTTAGCAATTTAGATAGATTACTTTTTAGAAAATGGGATCCAAATTTCTATTCGAAAATCTAAACTATCTATTGAATCCACGACAAGTTGAGACGGCACTCGACATCGATCTGCAGAAACACTTTTACCACGAATCCGTCGGTTCTCTTAATAATAATCTTTGCTCAATTGTAAAGAATCGAAGAAAGTTTAAAGTACGACTCATCGCGCATCTACCATCAGCCGCAGTAGTGACATCAGTTCTCTTGTCTAAAATCCTTTACGGTAATCGCATTGCGATTCTCTCAACACGAGATGTGGAATGTAGAATTCGTTGAATGACATCTGCAATCAGCGCAATAGATATCCTTTTACATACTTGTGAAATATCGAAATAGCTCCTCCGTCGACGTCATTCCTAAGATTATTATCAAATTATGCCGATGTTCAAATTTTTTACATATTTCCATTTTATTAAGAGAATTTATCCTAATTCTTATTACTATTTTAATTGCTCCTAAATTTTCATGAGAGCGTCCATCGATTCTTGCTCGTCGTTATTTCGAAAGCGACACGCATCTTGGATCGGCGTCGCGTGCTAAATTCGACACGTGCGATCAACGAAGATCTAATCGCGCAAGAAAGACAGACGGCGATCAGAAGGCAAGACAGAAAAAGATAGAGAGAAAGAGAGATAATTCGATGGCGATCGAACGAGAGACGCGAAATGATGGCGGCGTGCAGTTCTGGACCCTTAGAAAATTATTTTTCTTTCAAAATCACCGTTCTCCTGTCGATCCGCCACCACGCTTCGTAAACTCATTAGACGGCCCTTGTTCCCGCCGTCGTTAATTGAGTGTCGAGGTGAGACGAACGACACGGAATTATCATCCGAATCCTTCTTGTTAGGCATCCATGCCTCCTCGCCTCTCCTCCCTTTCCTCTTCATCGTTTCGCTCATGCTATCGTTCTATCTACCTATCTCTTTCTCACTTTCTCTCTCTCTCTCTCTCTCTTTATCTATCTATCTCTCTTCCTCGAGAATTCATCATTTTCGAAGCAACATAATCAATTAAGTCTGTTGCGTACAAGACGAAATTCGTTCTTCGTTGCAGTAGTGTCGATTGTTTTGGTGATGTTCGAATGAAATTTTATCATAAGTATAATCGTAAATATATTACATCATTTCATATAGAGCGCAAAAATAATCGATGTCGTTCTCGAGAAGAGAACGGAGCTCAATTCTTTCGAGTAAAATTTCTTTCTCGCGTCGTTTAGCGAAGTCTACGTTATGCATTGGTTGTTAAAATCGGTCGACACGCAGGGTTGTCTGCAGAAACACGTTTGCCAATAATAACATTACAAGTTTAACTTATAAGGATTAAAAGAATAATAATCGATCCTTTGACGAAAATAATTTGACAGCTCTTCTTTATCGCAGTTCTTAAATCCATCGAGTATTTTTAAAGAATAAGGCATGTGGCGCTATTGGCATGCGGACGTTTACGACAGCCGTTGCGCGTTTACACATTAGTGACATAACTCGCGGCGCGCAAGAAATGACATTGGCATGCGACGGCGTGCTCGAAGCTCAAAGTACAACGGATTCAGAGGCGGAAATAAGTTTCGGCGCGGCATGTGTATCATAAGAACGAAGTCATCCTGTTACTCGTTTCATTCGTCAAATACTCTCGTTTTAAAAGAACAATTCGCAAGCGTGCGTGCGCACTCGCGCGCGTCGCAACGATCTCCAATTAAGCGTCGCTCGCACCTGGAAAGCTCATTGTTGCGTCATATGTGAGCGGATCTACCATGTATCATAGAAATCTCGCAAGAATGGCGCTTAAGAGAGTCACAATGGCGCGCGGCGACACGATATTAAAGATTCGAAATGCGGTGAAGGTGCACACGAATCGCGGTAGGAACAATCGCTAGTCGACACCGCCAAGGATCGAAATCGATTTCGTGACTCTGCGGGCGGCGACGCCGATGGAGAAGGTGAATAGCGGCATATACAGAAAGTGTACATGTAGATTGTGGACAAGAAGTCGCGCTGATGGATTATGTCAAGGATGCACAAACTCTTTCGGCATCGTCTCATGGACAGATATAAATGGACTTGCCACAAATTTTCGCGATCAAGTGGCTATACGAATTTAAGAATCAATAAAAAATCGCGGAAAGCGCGATCCTAATTTATATTTTCATTGTTGTATTTTATTATGCATCTTGAACATATAAATTATCAAATTCATGTATTCGTTATTTGTATAGAAATTTGAACACTCGAGAATTTAAATGGAGGAATAAATTTATTCAGTTCGTTGTCATTTCTTTTCGTTGCCATGTGCGCGTGTCGAATCGGGGTTTGTGCATCGTTGGATTGTGTAATTTAATCTTGTATATAGGGTACATTTTGTATATTGTTAAAAGTTTGTGTGATATAAATGGTTATGTATTTACTATCGAGCGCGAACGGCGAACGGGGCACCCGCGCGTTTATCCCACGGCCGATACGCGACGTGCCATGCTTTTCCGTGGTCCTGCGTGGCCGAGTGCGGCGCGCGGTGACGATCTCCGCGACCACAGCATCGACGACGACAGTAATTTACGAATTATATAATTTGTAATGTTCGCGTCGATTCCATTTTTGTTCGGTCGAATTATCTCGTCTCGAATGTA